AAAATAGCTCGGGGTGTCTAACCCCGCAGCCCACGTTTTTTTTCTATTTTTATTTCTAACATTTTCACAAGCTCTTTGTATTTTTATTTCTAACATAACATTTTCACAAGCTCAAGCGCCAACATGGCAGTAAAAGACTTCGGAGCCCTCATCATCAAGGCTGGTCAGGTCGGGCCACACCTTGCCTCCGACACTGCCCAGGTTCGTGTCATCTACCTTTTACTTGCAGTTTCTACCCTTGTCCAAGGCTAAATTTTCGTGTCGTCCATTCTTCTGATTATGTTTGAATTGACCCGTTGTGTCGTGCGCCTCCTCTCCTCTCCATTCTCATCCCGTGAACTAATTGAGAGGGACACTACTTAGTTCTTGTGACATGTCATGGCTTATACACCAAATTTGGTCGATGAAATGCCACACCAAGATAGCGCTCACCAGATCTTCCATAGAACGCTGACCACACCTTTTAGTTCGTTGCAGCCTGCATGGGCAACTGGGCAAGTGGAGGCCAAAATTGCAATTGTGAGAAGGATGTGTACCAATGTGGTTACGAAAGAAATAATTTACATGCATTTTTCCCCTTTGAAATAAAATTAGGTGCCTTGACTCCTTTTAGTTTGGCTTTTCTAGGTTCTTGTTTTTGTTTTGCACCTATGATCTTAGTAAACAACTTATAATTTGGAATAGAGGGAGTATTATATGACTCATTGTCACGAACCTTGACTTCCAATCACTATTACAAGGGTAACTGATATAATATCTGAAGAATCAGAGGGAGTTTAAACAGGGAATAACAAAGAATCGGGGTACAGAAGCAAGAACAGCAGAGGGTTCTGGGACTTGGAGAGAGGTCGGGAGGTAGACAACGAAGTTCTATTCTTGTTCGATGCCCCCTTCGGTTACAGGCCATGGCATATATCTACCGACGGCCACACGCGCACACCTACTGGCCAGAGGCCCATGAGCATGCCGAGGCCCAACGCAGTAGGCCCAGCATACACACACCTGGGTCATGACATTCCCTCCCGCTTAAGCAGCAGCTTGCCCTCAAGCTGTGATCAACATGAAATATTTTCTTGATACCCGTAGCCTTATGGGTCTTCAATCATCAGGTTCAGGTTGTAAAACTGAAGCTTGCTGTAGTATGCATGGGGGCATGCCAGAACTGCAATGACTGGCGGAGCATTGCCATCACGGCCAGCATCCCCTTGTGACCAGAAAGCAACATCAAGTTTACTTAGCTGGTGTGGCAGAACCTCCTAAGAAATCGGACCCACGTGCACCTATCGATGTCTCAACAGACCTCGATATAAGCATACACGATTCCCAACAACTTAACAGGTCTGTCCGGGTGTCCTCGAAAACCCGAATCATCCACGAAATCTTTTCCAAACAGGATCCCAATCACAATCATTGCAGATTACAATAGCTTTTCAATATACATACCAGAGATTATAAAGCGGAAGACTTAAGTTTTAATATTACGAACAGTTGTTTCAAACTTACAAAACCATAAGTGTCATACAACCATAGTAGCGGGATAATATTACATTAACATTACTTATTTCACACAACTAGTGCCTTGTCCAAAGGCCATTCATCATTCCTCATCGTCATCAACTTCAAACACTGACATGCAGCAGGGACCAAAACAAGCCTACGCATGCGACTCACCTGCAACAAGGGTTAACAAACCCTGAGTACAAAAGTACTCAACAAAACTGACCCGACGAAAAAGAGCGAAGGTCTTAGGGATGCATGTGTTGGGTCAAGGTAAGGATGTAGCAAGATTCAAAAGTTTTTTGCCAAAAACTTACTATTCTTGATCCTAGTTTCAAGTTTTACCCCTAAGTACGTTAGTTCATTATCTCCAACTAAGTATTCATATCCCATGTTCCAATCCTTCTCATTCTATTCTTTTTCTCATGTTTTAGTAATTCACCAGTCCTGCATTGCTTCTGTAATGAATCGAGTCTCCATATCCGCGGAGCACTGGCAATTCGAATTGATTCAAGTCCCAGCTGGGGATTCCTTATCACACGACATATGTAGAACTTAAGCTTACATATATCAACCTCGCTACCGGATCCTCTTATATTAAGCTGTCTCCACGCCACCCGAGAGCACAACACGCCTCAAATCCGGCCACATTCAAGCCACGAGGGTACACGCTACTCCCGCCATCTCACCACTCCCAGTGTGTAGGCATTCGTCTTAGTATCGGATTAGCCGAAGTAGGCTTACCGGAGTATGTGACCAATACTACAAAGTGTCTCATTCAGAAGATCCACAATGAGTGGCCTTTAAGCGACATAGTCGGCAACATTACCCATCATTCAAGATAAGCCACCCAACTAGTCTCTAGTTCATTCTATCTTCTTTCTTTCTTTCTTTGGCCAGTATGCCATCTTTGATTGTATCGAAACTTTTACTTTGAAAACCTACCATAAAGCATACTAAGCAATTCTACGCCTTTGTAAATGAAATCATCTTAAGGATGGTAAACAATTAACAAGGAAGGCAATGCATCAAGTAGGTAATATTTGAATAAATCAACTTAATGCAATAAATAACATAGATAATAAACTTTTCAAAGTAAACAAGGTAATGGTTTAATGCATAAACCGGGGCTTGCCTTCGTTGACGATCTCGGGTTCCGGATCAGTACCACAATTATCGAATCCCGTGACAACCAGGGATTCTTCCACAACTTGCTTAACTAGAATCGTTTCACTCTCGGATTCTACACGAAACAATAACATATGCTTCAATATGATGATAATGTAAACATGATGCTTTCATGGTACATGAAATGTAATAACATCTTGAATACAACTTTCCTTCGCGATACAGTTGTAAGTCAACAAAACTAATTGACACTAACATCTAGGGTTTATGACCTAAGTGACTTGACCAAATTGATCTTGAAACCCGACTGGTCACAAAACATGACCCAAACAAGATCAAACCCTAACCCTAACACTTAGGGTTTGCTTTTATTCATTTTTTAATTAATTTGGAAATAAGCCCAAAAATGAACTTGTTCCAAATTACCTCAAAACTTTATGTAAGCTTCCTCATAACAAATTAGTGTACCAAAATAAATTTCATAATTTTTGGAGCTATACAGTGACCTACAAAAATTATGAAAATTACATTGATCAATTAATTGACTGAATTTTTGAACATTAAAAATTTATCCAAATTTCAAGTTTCAAATTTTTAAACCATAATAGAACATGTACAGAAGCTACACACAAATTTTTAGAATTTTTGGAGCTGTAATTAATTTCCTATAAATTTTCAAAGTTACTGCACTATTCAAAATCCAGAAATAACAAAATTCCACTATTCTCTCTCTCTCTCACTGACAGCCGGGCCCCGCTCGTAAGTGACACAGACACAGAACACGGCGGCGCTGCCATCACTAGTCGGCCAAAACGCGCCGACGGCGATGCTCCGGCGAGGCAGACCGCACCTACATGATCTACAATGTCCAACGAATCTATCCCAGCCCTAAAAACGGCAGCAGGCGCACCGGAGGGAGCTCCACGCCGGCCATGGCGGCGCGGGCACGACGGCGCACGACACAATCCCGACCACGGTGCGGTAGAGGCTAAAGTAGAGCGAGAATCACGTTCAGGAGCTCACCACGATCACGCCGGTGTGTTTGGTGAAGACGAAGACGGGCTGGAACGTCCTGGCCATGACGAGGTCGATGGTGGCGGAGCTCCGGCCGGTCTCGGGGAAGAACACGTTGCGCCGGGCGATTTCGGCCAACACCAGCGACGCGAGCAAGTCAAAGAGGAGCGCAAGGTCGAGGCGATCGCGTTGGTGTAGCTGGGCATGACGGACGCGGTTTGACGGTGGCTACGGCAAGTGGCGGAGCTGTTCGGTGGCGGAGCAGAGCAGAGGGGAAAACGGAGAGCGACGGCGGCGGTGTTCCTATTTATAGCCGCGAAGAACGCGCCCGGCGTCGACAACTCACGCACGAGCTCGCCACGGAGCTTGCTACGTGTCACCGCACGAGAAAGCGGCGCAAAATGATCGGCGGCGGCAGCTGCGTGGCGTCGGCGGCAAGCAGGGAGGTGGCGCTCGGCTGGTTTTGATTTTTGAAGTATTTACAGAATTGCCACTGCGTTAATTTTGCAAATTACTCACAAATTTTCTAAAGAAGTTGAAAATCTCCAAAAATGAAAGTTGCTTAACTTTTCAAACTCTACAACTTTGTTTCAAGGAATATTTTCAAATTCTGCCTCCATTTTAAAATTTGAATTTGGGGTGCATTTGAGTATTTGAATCATTTCAAAATTACTCCAAATTTTATATGTAAACTTTCAAAACTTTGAATACCAAAGTTGATCCTTATAAAATAAGCTTCAACTTTGCTTTTTGTCACAACCCCAAATTCCAAATGGATTTTGAAATAGACAAAAGGGGCAAAAAGGACTTTTATAATTGGAATTTGAATTCAAATTTGATTTGTTTACCTTTTGACTTAACTTTGATTTTTGACCAGTAACATGGTCCATTAGGGTTGTTTGAGTCAATTAACACATGATCACATGAATTTTGACTCTTGTGGTCATGATTTTCATTCAGAGTTTTGAATCACATTGTATCACATAAAATAACAACTTATGAAATAAAGCTTATTTAGTGAATGCATTCAAATTTTTCTACTTTATGAATGATTTGCAATGCATATGATGACATGTCAAATTTTAATGATAGATCAAAACACCAGAGGTGTTACAGCTGATATCTTGTTCTCAGCAGCTCGACCGGTGGCATATCATCATCCGCAAACATAGACGCGCCTTTGATATAGAGCTGTTGTCCATGCTGCTGTCGCTGCAACCTCTGTGAATTTCCCAATTTATAATGTTGAAGCAGCTGCTCTTGCTGCTTTATTAAAAGCGCACTGGCATAAGCAGTATTTGTGAGAGGATTGGAATTGTCCTTCACTGAAGAATTCTTCATCATGTCAAGAAAAATGAAGATCAGATGTTCCAGAATAGTACTGCAGTACTCTGATCCCAGCAAATGAAACTCATTAACCGCCTGTTGATCACCTCGGCAATCGGAAATTTCAGCAAGCACTTGCTCTTGATTACTAGTTTTGCATTGCCATGAGCCAGCAACTTTCCAACATCTCCCGTTAGCTGTACACAGCAACAAGCACCAGATAAGAATTTGCTCCAAGTAGTAACAATTGTTTTGAAAGCCACACCACTCTTGTCTCCACACAAACATTGCTGCCTGATTGATTGTATTTTGAGCCAACATGCCATAGCTTCTGTAAACTGAAGTTCTGTCAACTTGGAGCAACTCATTTCTCATGCCTGTAGGTGGTGGCCTCGGTTTTAGCTCCGAAATACACAGAGAGGGCAATCCTGTAAACTGCAAGTGAACATGTCTTTGCTGCCAAAACTCATGTAGATTCAGAAATGGCTTGATAGTTCCCAGAACTGAGCTCCCTGACCAAGTAGGTGGAGGCCAAGAGATTGTCAACAGCGCAAGCACATCAGGCTGCATTTTATCGAATAGCTTGGGCAGCCGCAGCTCCACTTCATCCTTGCACTTGCACAGCACAACAAGCCCCATTGGCAACCTTCTCAGCTCAGCAGGAGTATTAGGATTTGCTCTAGCCTGCAACAGTAACTGCATGAAAATGGCCTCCATGTATTTGCCACGATCAAACACCTGCTGGCCCATTGACGCCATGGGAGTGACCCATACTGAAAGTTGAGAGTTCCTGAAGGGTTGGAAAATCCCCGAAAAAAATGTTGACTGAACCAAGGGTGGCAGTGTTGTATGAATCAAAAAGCTCCGACTGACCCCTCCTCCAGCTTCACTCGTGCAATGGCAATCTGTCAGTGCAAGGATAGAATATGCTGCTATACCACTGTCAACTATCATCTCACATGGATCTGGTGGCCATGGAAGTGGCAATATATCAAGCCTGTGAGCTGCAAGACAGCTGCATATAGGTGGTGGCCCTGGAGGATTCTGCTGCACATCTCCCTTGCTCTCAAACACATTGTGAGTCTCACGAGCATCGACAGCAAAATATGACAGAGCAATGCCACTATCCCATAAATGAATCCCAATTTTCTGTACCAGGCCCCAATGCTGAACTTGACAGTAAGCATACCATGTCCGATCAGGTGGTGGCCAAGGAACTTTGTAGTGTATGTTCATTTGGCAGCACCCAAATAGAAGAACATCCAGCAAAGGAGTATACCTGGGCAGCAGTCCATCGAAGCCCAGTTGAACACCCAATGGAGCAGATGTCGACTGACTTGTAGCGGCCATCAGAACGATATGCAAAGGTTTGACCTGCTTGGGAACGTCACTTTGGAATTTGACCAGTGTAGGCCGGGGCGCAACCACAGTCTGGTCATCGTTGCAGTCATCCTCCTTAGTGGCCACGACCAGACATGGTGAGGACGCGTGTAAGGTCTCCGGCGGGGCTGGTGTTGGCGAACTGCAGCGCCGTGCACCCCGCCGCTTGGGAGTGACGCTGACACGGGCCTGAAGGTGGTGCCAGATGCGAAGTTGAAGAAGACGGCGGCGGCGGCGACGACGACACTTCCCGTGACGTAGAGCGCGCCTTCGTGGCTGAGGCCGCATGCCCAGCCCCTGGACCTGAAGGCGTGGAGGCCGTCCCCGACGTGGAGGTCGTCGGTGGGGCCGAACAGCCTTGCTCCGCGGTGTCGTCGGTGCCTTCTTCCTCTCGCTCGGACATTCGACCCCTGCAGCCTTGGTACGGATTGGAAACACGCTGGTACGGCGTGCCCGGGTGGAAAGCGAGGCCTCCTGGCCGACGGCGAGGGAGAGGAGCGCCCGAACAGACTTCTTGGCGATCTTCTTCTTCGCGGTGAGGTAATCCGGTGTTGGAAGCCGGAAGAAGATGGCCGCGGCGGCGCGTGGAGGCGACAACGCTACCGCGGAAGCGGCTGCGGTGGACGGTACGGCTCGTGTCGGGGCCGCCGGTGGAGTCGGTGAAGCGGACGCAGCGGAGGTGAATCCAATGGGTATGCCGAAGAGGAGCACGGGCGCGCCCGAGGACGCTGCAGGCACGGACGGCGCAGTCGGGGTCGAGGTCGCCGATGGAGTGGGTGAAGCGGACGCAGCGGAGGTGAATCCGATGGGTACGCCGAAGAGGAGCACGGGCGCGGCCGAGGACGCTGCAGGCGCGGACGGCGCAGTCGAGGTTGAGGTCGTCGATGGAGTGGGTGAAGCGGAGGGCGCCGACGGCCGAATCGGTGACAATGCAGAGGCGCGACCCATTGCGGCCAGCTTCTCCTCCGCGTACTGCCTCAACTCTGCCATCCTCTGAGAAAGGGAGGCGATGCTGGCAGCGAGGCAATCGGCGGCGGCTGAAGGTGGTGTGGACGCTGATGAAACCATGGAGCTCAAATGATTTGGGGGAAAAAATGAGGGTTCCCCAAATCAAAAGGCTCTGAATACCAATTGTCACGAACCTTGACTTCCAATCACTTTTACAAGGGTAACTGATACAATATCTGAAGAATCAGAGGGAGTTTAAACAGGGAATAACAAAGAATCGGGGTACAGAAGCAAGAACAGCAGAGGGTTCTGGGACTTGCAGAGAGGTCGGGAGGTAGACGACGAAGTTCTATTCTTGTTCGATGCTCCCTTCGGTTACAGGCCATGGCATATATCTGCCGACGGCCACACGCGCACACCTACTGGCCAGAGGCCCATGAGCATGCCGAGGCCCAACCCAATAGGCCCAGCATACACACACCTGGGTCATGACACTCATATCTATTGTATTGGTTTCTTGCAGGGAAGACGACGATCACTTTCAGTTAGAGGCCAGTAAGCTTACATTTCTCTGGTTAGTTCTCAGGTTCAAGTCTATATATAATTGCAACATATGCTTGTAGAATCTGTTTACATGCAAAACACATGGACCCACTGAATTAGTTTAAAGTGGTCATAAGAAAATTATTTTTGTAGTTATGAAAAATCCTCCTATTCTATAATGTTCAGGTTTTACAAAACCAAAAGACACAATTTAGTGAGGATTTGCATGCACAACTAATGGAGAACATCAGTTGTGGAAAAGTGGCGGTGTGGAATATTGTGCTGCCACATCTCGCTATTGCTTAGATCATACGAGACGTTATTTATATTGTCCAAGTTACAGCTAGCGGACCAAAAAGCTCCTATCCTATGGCCATGTTCTAAACATATTCCTAGCTTTCAGGAGCATTTTGGTGTTTTCAATATAAGCCTATACAAGGATAAAAGATACAAATTGGATTTGACTTCTCAGTGGTGAAAGTGCAATCAAGTCTTAATTGTCGATTTTGATGATAATGACAACGTAATTAGAGAACTAATAAGATTTATCAAGATGACAAGCAGAGAATTTATATTCGAGGATGCTACACAGAACGGATGAGTCCCCAATTATAAATGTAGATGGCTTCAAACTCAAAGAAGGTTTAAATTCTTTTATATATTGAATTTGAGTATATGAAAGCCGTACTATAAATGGGACACAATGCTTAAGCTAATATGTGCTACCAAGTGCTCAAACAACAACAAGCATCCTCAGTTTCACAGCCAAGACAGTTTGCACTTCACTATTACCCTTGCTGTCTTACATGGTGCGAGTTCCGACTCGCCCAACTCCTTGGGTGTGAGCTCCGACCCGCCCGACCTCTTGGGCACGGGCTCAGGCTCACCCGACCCTTTGGTCGCGGGCTCCGTCTCGCCCGACCCTAAGGTCGCGGGCTCTGGCTCGCCCGACCCTTTGGTCGCGGGCTCCGTCTCGCCCGACTCCAAGGTCGCAGGCTCCGTCTCGCCCGACCCTTTGGTCGCGGGCTCCGTCTCGCCCGACTCCAAGGTCGCAGGCTCCGTCTCGCCTGACCCTTTGGTCGTGGGCTCCAGATCGCCCGACCCTTTGGTCGCGAGCTCCGTCTCGCCCGACCCTAAGGTCGCGGGCTCCAAATCGTCCGACCCTTTGGTCGCGGCCTCGTCTCGCCCAACCTCTTGGGTGCAGTGTCCGTTGAGGGCTAGGGGTATATATACCTTTCCCTTTCCTCGCCAACGGCTATCTGCGATTTAAAGTGGTCGTTGGGGGCTAGGAGTATATATACCTTTCCCCTTCCTTTCCAATGGTAACCAACCGGCTCTCTTCTTTCTCACTACAACATGCCAAAAATAGAGCAGGAGCTCTCTCTCTCACTCACTCCATTGTTGACCTCAAGCCCCGAAGCAAATCCATTGATTTCTCCATCAATCCTTGAGGGAAAAGGGTTCAAAACTCGAATAAAGAGCAGCTCCATTGATTCCTAAACTCTAAAGAGCACTTGGTTCACGTCTTAGTCGGTGGTTGTGTTTGTTACTCTTGAAGCTTGGCTCCTAGCCGGTTAGAGCATTGCCCGGTGAGCTTGCCAAGTTTGTGGCAGCACCGGGAGGTTTGTAACCACCTTTTGTAGCGATTAAAATCACCCCTCGTCTCAAGAGTTCACTCTCTTGACTTGAGAACGAGGTAGGGTTGCAAATCCCTAAGCCTTAGTGGTATACCTCAACAACATGGATATAGGCAAGCCTTGGTGACGAGCTGAACCACGGGATAAATCCTTGTGTCATCTTGTGCTTGTGTTGCTACACTTGTATTCTTGTTGTTGTTGAGGTGATCTCTAGAATTTGAGGCCGATCTACTTGGGTGTGGTGTTCCCACCACTTTCAGCTGTCGATCTGTGATCTACTACTCTACATGAAGTTAAGAAATTTACCCAATCTAAATTTCGTTGGGTAGATTTTGAACTGTGAACTAATCTCTCTTGCAGGTGCGGCAGTACCGCGCTCACAGAGCGGCAGTGCCGTGGGTGAATTTGACTTCGGTTTAAGTTAAATTTTTATAGGCCTATTCACCCCCTCTAGGCGTTCTAGTGATCCTACAAGTGGTATTGGAGCCAATTACCTCATGTGCGCTTCACCACATGAGGTATGGAGCCCAGGGGAGGATCCAGTGTTGTGAAGCCCATCAACGTCGATTCGGAGGACGTTGGGCTGCATGACACCAACAGTAGTGAGCTTAGCGCCTCTACAGCGAGCAACTCCACGCTCCCGCAGCTAGAGGCAACCGATGCCGAAAAAGCTCAAAATAAAGAAGAAAGAAAGAAGAAGAAGAAAGGCAGCTAGAAAAGAGAAGAGAAGCAAGAGAGAAGAAGAAGGAGCAGCAGCGGTTAAAAGAGAAGAAAGCAAGAAAAGAAGAGAGAAGACTTAAGAGAGAAGCTAGAAGAAAAAGAAGAGAAGCAAGAAAGAAGAAGGAACAAGAAGCAAAACCTCCAATTCATCCTCAAGTGAGCTATCTAGCAGCTCCGAAGATGGTGATGATGATGAGTACTACCAAGTGTATAGCAAGAAAGACAAGAAAGGAAAGAGCAAGAAGAATGACGATAACAAATATGCCGCCATATCCTTTAACTATTCTTCTATGTCTATGACTAACCATGATCGCAAGCCTTTCATCAATGTGCCTGTGGGCAAGTTACCTCATTTTGATGGGACTAACTTTGCCAAGTGGAAGCACTTGATGAGAGCCTATCTTATAGATCTTCATCCCGGCATTTGGGAGGTTGTATGCAATAGATTTGAGCCACCGGTTGATCACAAGAATCCAACCATGGAAGAAATGAGAATCATCCACCTCAATGGTCAAGCCACTAGTGTGCTACTCAGTGCCTTGGATGGTGATGAGTATAATAGAGTGATTGGTGTAGATGATGCTAAGCAAATTTGGGATACTCTGCATCTTGCACATGAAGGAGTTAACAAAGTGAGAAAGGCAAGAATTGATTTGTTGATGTCTAAGCTCAACCGATTTGTTATCTTAGATGGAGAAGGGCCACAAGAGATGTTTGATAGGTTGATGACCATGGTGGGCAAGATTAGAGGCTATGGTTGTGATGAGCTAGATGATCACAAAGTTATCAAAATTATGTTGAAAGTTTATTCACCAAGAAATGAGACCGTAGTAACTCTAATTAGAGACAAGAAGAAGTTTGAGTACTTCACACCAAATGATGTACTTGGGAGGATCTTGACCTTTGACATGCAAAGAGAAGAAGCAAATGAGAGGAAGAAGCTTGGAGAATTGCAAGCAAAGCTAGAAGGCATAAAGATCAACAAGGATGTAGCTCCCAAAACCAACAAATCAAGCAAGCAAGGCTCTACAAGCAAGTCCAAGACCAACAAGCAAGCTTCAATTAGCAAGCCCAAAGCAATCAAGCAAGTTCAAGAAAGAGTAGAGACCACCTCATCCTCTAGTGAGAGTGAACATGATGATGACCAATACGAGAAAGTGGATGATGTTGCTCTCTTTATGAGTAGGTATCACAAGGGGCTAAAGAAACAAGGCTACAAGGTAGTGAAGAGAAGCTTCCCAAACAAGAAAAAGAGGACATGCTACAATTATGGAAGCACCGATCACTTCATTGCAAAAGTGTTCATATGAGATCAAGGACAACAAATACAAGAAGGACAAGAAAGAGGAGAAGGCCGACTGTAGAAAGAGCAAGAAAAACATGGGAGAAGCTCACATTGGGCATGAATGGGATTCATCTATTGAAAACTCAAGTGAAGAAGATAAGAAAGTTGCAACCATTGCTATCCTTGAGCCATCTTCTTCACTAAGACTCTTCACCAACATGTCCGATGATGACTACTACTCCCCTCACATTTGTCTTATGGCAAAGGGTGAGAAGGTAAAATCTAAATCCAAGGCCAAAGCTCCTCCACCTCCACCTCCTTGTGATATCTCTAGTAGTGATATTAGTGATAGCTCTAGTGACGATAAATCTAGTGATGAAGAAATAAACATGATAACTAAAAATTTGGATGGAAAGATCAAATTATTCATCACTAAGATAATGGAGGATCTATAGAGTGTCCAAGCCAAGCTAGAATCTAGAGAGGAAACTCTTATCCAACAAGAGGATCTCTACATTGCTAGCAAGGAAGCTCTTGCATTAGAGAGAAGTGAGGTGGAATCCTTGCATAAGGCCTTGGCCAAAGAACAAGGGGACCATGCTATCACAAAGAAAGAAAATATTGCTCTCAAGAAAAAGTATTGTGACTTAGATGAAAAGCACAAAGAACTTGAGCTGTAATATAATATTCTTTGGGATAGCAACTCACATCCCTCTAAGGCAAAGGATGCCTCTACTACCTCCACTAGTCAAGGTTATAGAAAATGTTATAATATTGATTTGAATGCTTATTCCACTAACCTTGCAAACATGGAGGCAATGAGAAAAGAAATTGCTAGACTCAATGAGATCATTGGTAAGGGCTGCTTGAGTGGTAAGGCTCAAGTAAGTGATAAGAAGGCAAATGATTTAAAAGTGCCTCAATTCAAGCAAGGG